CCGCCGGGCCACTCGCCTGCGACTGCCGCAGTGCCGCAGGGGCACTCGGCGGGGGGCGCCTGCGCGACATTGCGGTCGCGGGAGTATGCTGAGGGCGTCTCCAAACGTCTCAAGGAGCGCTCCTCGCGCGAGGCTGCTCGCCGTCGGCCCTGCGCATGTGCGGGCGCTGCGCAGTTGGGCAGCGCGGAGCGCCGCAACTCGCAGATGCCGCGTGCGTGCATTAGTCATGCCGCGCGCCGCGACTGATCTACACACGCGGCGCGAACGGTCCTCGCCGGACTGGCTCCACGCGCGCACGCGTGTCCCGTTCGGTACTCATGGATGCGAATTCGCGCAAGTAGCACATGCATCATCCAAGCGGCTGCACCGCCTGGACTGGATGCGATGGGCCGCTTTGCGTCTTCAGAACTTTTACATGACATGGTTTACAGCCCGCGCGTCGTGGCCGCCGAGGGTGCTCCACCGAAGAGACCCCTCTTGCGCCGCCATGCGTCCCCTCCACAACTTTCATTATTTTCCCTCACACCTCTTCCCGGCATCACGGTGACTTGCACCGAAGGCCTTGGCGGCGCCGGCCGCATGCGCCCCCGTCGCCCATGGCGGAACTGCCCACGCACGTTCCCCCGGCCCATGCAATGCGAAGGCCCCACTGCCCCCGCCCGCATGCGTCTCCGCAATCCTCTTCGGGACACTTATCACACGTCGCGTGGCCTCATGGGGGCCTCCACCGAACAAGGGCCCACTGGCGTGGCCCGCACGCGTTCCCGCCGACCATGCCACCACTCACCACACTCGTTCCTTCGGACCCTGGGGAGCTCTACAGAATCCCCCACTGGCAATGCCCGCATGCGTTCCCGAAATCCAGTTCGGGACACCGCATGCACGTCCCATGGCCTCGCGGATACCTCCACCGAAGGCCCCACTGGCGCCGCCCTCATGCGTCCCCGGTATTCAGGGCTCTTTTGGAGGCCCTCCTAGGGCCATATTGGAGGCTTCCTGGCCCCTCCTGGGGCTCTCTTGGGACCGTCCTGGGGCTCTCTGGGGGCCCTCTTGGAGGCCTTGAGGTCTCATCGATGAAAGATGTGGGGGTTCTTTAAGTCAGTGCCCCCGTCGGGACCCGAAAATGAGCCTCTTGGGGCTCTCTTGGGCCGCTCTTGGGGCGGTCCTGGGCGCTCTTGTGGCCGTCTTGGAGCCCTCCTGGGCCTCTCTTGGGGCCCTTGTGGGCCATCTTGGAGCCATCTCGAGGCCTCAAGAGCAGCTCATCGGACGCGAAAGGGCGACAATGCAAAAAAACATCGGAAAACAAAATGGATTTCAAGGATTCTGGCCTCTTGAGGGCTTCATTGGAGGGCTCGAAAGGCACTTGGAGCCGTCCTGGGGCGGTCTCGAGAGCTCTTGGATGTCTGTTGATAGCTATATTGAACCATCTTGGGAAATCTTGCTTGACCTTGGAGGCTATCTTAAGCTCTTTGAGGCCCTCTTGGAACAATCTTAGGCCATCTTGGGCGCTCCTATTCCTCGCGGGAAGGCGCCTCTAGGCCCAGGGGGAGGGGGTAGGGGGAGGGGGAACCCCCTCCCCGAAGGGGAAGAAATGGGTTTAGCAGAACGAGCTCGCTAGACCACTCACGCCCTAAAGGGCTTGTGGGATTATCGGGAACGCACATTTCAGATGGCTCGATGGGCTCTTTGTTGCCTTGCGGTCCTGAGAGACGGGGAGGGGGCGAGGGCACATGGCCGGCCGAGTTCGGGCGCGGCCGGGTCCGAGATCAGCCGACGGCTGAACTCGGACCCGGCTGATCTCGGACCCGGAAACTCGGACCCGGCTGAACTCGGACCCAGCTGATCTCGGACCCGCTGAACTCGGACCCGGCTGGTCTCGGACCCGGCTGATCTCGGACCCGGCTGATCTCGGACCCGGCTGATCTCGGACCCGGCTGATCTCGGACCCGGCTGATCTCGGACCCGGCTGATCTCGGACCCGGACGCTCTCGCTGCAGCGCGGGCCTCGGTCCGAAATCAGCTGGGTCCGAGTTCAGCTGGGTCCGAGATCAGCTGGGTCCGAGATCAGCTGGGTCCGAGTTCAGCTGGGTCCGAGTTCAGCTGGGTCCGAGCTTTTGGGTCCGGGATTCCGCGTCCGAGATCAGCTTGGGCCCGAGTTCAGCTGGGTCCGAGTTCAGCTTGGGTCCGAGTTCAGCTGGGTCCGAGTTCAGCTGGGTCCGAGTTCAGCTCGTGTCCCTGGGACCTCTCGGCGGGGCCCCCTCGGAGTTCGCCTGGCGGCCTCGAGCGGGCTTCCCCGAGATTCCGAAGGCCGCGATCCTGGGGCGTTCCTGGAAGTGCTGGGGGGCGGGGAGGTGCAGGTTTGAGGAGCCGATTGGCAACAAAGAGGGTAGGGCCGTCACCAAGGGTATGAGTCTCGAACTCCTGGACCCCTGCCAGCACCACATGAGGCACCTCGTCCTGGTCGGCAACTTCGGCGTAGCCTTTTGTTTCTCAAGGGGGCGCGCGGCCTCCTTCGGGCTCCTGCAACTGGTCCGCGGCCTGGCTGCCCTCTCGATTGCCACGGGCGCATGGACGGCGGGCGCTCCACTGGATTCCAAGCGAATTCAACCCCGCTGACGAGCCGCCCCGTCTCTTCGAGAAGCTCAAGGAGGCGCGGGCAACGCTGTATGAGGTGCCTGCGGTGGGAGCAGAGCTTGGCGCTCCGTCAAGCAGCCGACGAGCCATCGACTTCCTGCGGAGCCGCTGGAACCCGACAGGAGGGCGGGCGCGCGGGCCGCCCCACCAGCGGTCTCGCCCGTCGGCGGGCGCCACTCGGCGGAGGCCCGCCGAGGCCCCCTCTCCTGCCACGCGGCCGCCGCCCCCGAGTCTTGGGCGGCCAGCCGCGGACGGCGAGTTCGGGGCCTGCGAGCCGGCGATGGTCGGCGTCAAGGGCTCGGCCGCCTACCAGTACTTCGAGAACATATTCCGCGAGTGGCAGCGGCGCCGTGGCAGAACCACCGACGACCTCAACGCGATCGGGGTGAGCCTGCGCGACTACCTGGAGGAGCTACTGGCCGTCAACGTGAAGCCCACGCACGCCGAGAAGACGGGGTGCGGCCTGCTGTACAACACGCTCTCGGCAGAGGTACGGCACTACCCGTGACCCCAACGGGCACCCAAAGGATACCGACAGCGATTTCCGCCTACCAAAAGGTGGCCGCTGCCGATCGAGGTGAAGTCAAGCATCTGCGCCCGACTGATCTACGACGGCGAGAGGTCCACGGCCATCCACATCAAGGCCGTGTTCCTTCGGGGTCTGTCCGTCCTGAGGGGGCCTCCTCGTGCTGAGGTGGGCGCACTGGTGAAGTCAGGGATGTCGGAGGAAGCTGCGCCACAGCGTTGGTCTCTGATTGTGGCGCCAAGGAAAGCCGCACATTGAGTGAGAGTCAGTCGCATGTCAGCGTAAAGTGTCTTGATTCAGTTTGTCGTTAGGATAAGCCAGGCAAGTTTCAGCTTGCTCTAAATCGGTTGAAGCAGCTGTCCGCCCGAAGCGGCTTTGAGATGTCACTCTCGTTTTTTTTTTTGTTGCCCTCTCTTCTTCTTCGTCTTCTTATTCTTCTTCTTCTTCCTCCTCCCCCGTTTTGTTTGCCGCCCTGTCCCCGCCACCGCCCGCTCACATCCTTCTTATGGGTCTTCCTGTGGGAGTGCATTTCAGTTCGAGTAATATTGTGGCCTGGCCTGCGTGCGCAGGGCGTTTTGCGACACGCATGTTGTATGTCAAGACCGAGCTGGCAGTGCCCAACACCCTCTTGTTTGGAAAGCGATCAGCTGTCTCCGACACCCCCGCCAGACGCCCCTCCTGGAATCATATAACTGCTTGCTGGTGGTTGATTCCTCAGAGGGTAGAGCGTCGTGAGGGTGCGCTTCTGCTCTGTAGTCTTTTCTGGCTCCCTCTGCCCCGCCCTTTAACCTATTGGGGAGTGCATTTCAATTCGAATAATATTGTGGCCTGACCTGCATGCGCAGGGCGTTTTGCGACACGCATGTTGTATGAGCTGGCAGTGTCCAACACCCTCTTGCTTGGAAAACGATCAGCTGTCTCCGACCCCCCGCCAGACGCCCCTCCTGGAATCAACAGTTTGAAAACCACTCGTCCTCAATCCGTGAAACTCTTACACGCGTGTAAAACGAATGTGCGCGGTGCTAAGGCGAGAGCCACATTTTGAAAACGACTCGTCCTGAATCCGTGAAGCTCCTGCAAATTTGTGCGACGAATGTGCGCGTCGCTAAGGCGAGAGCCACATTTTGAAAACGACTCGCCCTCTATCCGCGAAGCACTTGCAATTTTTGAGACGAATGTGCGCGGCGCTTGGGCGAGAGCCACATTTTGAAAACGACCCGCCCTCCATCCGTAAAAGTATTGTCAACTTTCAGGCTTCAGAGTCATAAATGGTGCGGATGTCTCAGGCGAAACGCCCGGCCCGCCCTGAAAATTGGCCTCGGGGTGCGACAGGGATAAGTTATTTGCAAGGAAAAGGAATGGAGGAAGAGGAGGGGGAGGAGGAGGAGGGGGAGGAGCAGGGGAACAATAAGCATGATAATGATGGCAATAGTATAATCGTACGAGTGCTAGTCATAAGAATAGTAACAATACGAATGCGTAAAATAATACGTGTTAAATTACGAATCAGAATAATAATTGTACGAATCGCAATACTAGTACATATATATATATATATATATATATATATACCTTTGTTTACATGGGGGTTGTCTGTCTCAGTATGTCGTGGAGGGCCGATTCCTTAAATGTCTGTGCTCAAGCTTGAAGCGGGGCCCACCTCATGCTTGCGGCTCTCTCTCCCTTCCTCGGATACGCCTCCCAGATTGCAGTATCGTCTCTGTCCAGGTGTCCCACGATGCCGTCCTGCCCCGCGTGGCCTGGGTGCCCTGACACGCACCCCTGCCCGGCGTGCGCGCCTTGTCGGGCCTGCCCGGGAGCGCCTGCGCCGATTCTCCAGGAGTGCCCGGCTGCTGACGCCCCCGCGGCTCCGCCGGCGGTCTCCAACCCGTGCGGCCACGGCTGGGTGCTGCTCGCAGTGCTGGTGAGCTTCGTCCTCGGCTTCTCCGGCGGCGGCGCGGTGCGCCTCGTCCTCGGGCTTGCGACGCGGCGCCAGACGGTGACCACGGGGCCGGATGGCGGCGGCCCATGCAAGTGGATCGCTGGGCGTGGGTCCTGTACGTCGGCGACCCGCTCTGGCATCAGCGTCTGGTGTTGGGTCACTTGCAGCCATCGGTGGCGACTCCGACTGACCCGTGGCGTTTGGTGGCATGCACCCCAGGTGGGGACGTGCACGACGAGGACTACTCGGGCCGGTCTGCCGACATCGCGGCGATCCGGCTGTGCCCTGATCGGAACCGGCCCCCCGGCATCGCTGCGGCTGCGAGCTACCGGTTCCGACGGGCTCCCATAGCAGCGGAGGTGGCCGCCTACCTTGCGGCGGGCGAGACCTACGCCGCCGCGGCGCTCGCGGCCGAGGCGGCGGCGGCGGGCCTGGCCTTCGCGGCCCGGGCGGCGGGATGCCTCGTACCCCTCGCCGCGGCCAGCGCGCCTCCCGGGGCAGGTGCCGCGGCCGGCGTCGCGCCGGGGCCCCCGCCGGCCGCCGCGGCCGCGCTGGCCCCCCTCGCCGCCGGCGCGATGGGGCCGGCTGCCGCCGGCGTTCCAGGCGGGGCGCCCGCCGGCCCCCCGGTGGCTGCCAGTGGCGCGCGGCGCAGTCGCTCTCTCGCGGTGGGCGCCGCCGCGGCCGCGGCTGCGGCTGCCCAGTGGGTGGCCGTCGAGAGCGCCGCCTTCGCCCGGCGCGGCGACGCGGTCGCCCTCCCGGCGAACGCGGTGGCGCACGGCGACCTCGCCATCGCCCCGTCGCCTGGCGGTCCCAACGTCGTGCTCCGCAGCGCCCAGGCCATGGACCCGACGGTGTACGCAGCGCTGGAGTCGGTGCGTGACCCTCGCGTCCTCGACGGGCCCCCGTTCGACGTGACCCGGCCTCGCCGGGGCTGGAGTGACATCTGCAAGGATCTCACGGAGACGGCGTACCCGACGTGGACGGCGCCTGGGCCTCGCACCGCGAAGTGGTGCGCGGAGTGGCTCGACCGTCGCTCGACGACGCCTGCGGCTCACCATCGGCAGTTCCTCAGCGTGTTCGGGCTCCGACCGGGCGCCTGGGGGGTGGAGATCTACGGGGCCGCCCTCCGCGTCCTGGAGGAGGCCGCCTGCTTCGACGGGGTGAACATCTGCGACCTCGCCGGCATCGAGTCCCTCATGCGGAAGACCGAGCTCACGGAGTACGTCTACTGGATGGATTCGATGGGCGCCACGGAGAAGGCTGAGGAGGACAAGGAGCCCAGCGCCTCCACGGTGACCTTCGTCGGCCTCATGGACGAGGCCGCGATCTTCTCGGGCCTCAACAAGGACACTGGCTCCGCCATGGTCTGTCCGGCGTTGCTGGACCACGTGTCTCGGGAAGTGGAAAAGGATGCTACAATTCTGAAACAGGTGCGTAAAGCCAAGGAGGGGCGGGCTGCGCTCCTCAAGAAGTCATGATGACTGCACACCACGGCCCGGGTGAAGCCTCTAGCTCGGTGCCAGACGTAGAGGCCGCCGTCAGCGGGTCTGCGCGGCCAGTACCTTCCCCGACGCTGCCCTCCTGGTCTTGTACTGAGCGGCAGCGTGACCTCCTGCCCCTACCTCTGTCCTGCTTGCGCGAGGCCCGCTTACCTCGTCAGCTTTTTCTCGGCCGGCTCGCCAGCGTCACCTTCGCCAGTCGCACTCGGCTCGGTTTGCGGAGGCGGTCGCCTCGAGTCTTAATCTGCTTTTTTCGGGAGGCCCCCCGGGGGTGGGGCCCGACTCTCCGAGTGCGGCTCAGCTCGAGGCCTGTCGTGTCATCCGTCGCACGGTGGGTCGCCTCGGGCCTCCCCCCCCAGGCCTCTCTGGCGCGGGAGCACTTCGTGAGCTCTGCGCCCGACGCTCTTCTGGTGGTGAGCCGGCCACCCTGGCGCCGATCGGCCCAGACTCTGTCTGCCTCTTGGACCTCCCCTCTCCTGGTAGCCTCCCACAGCCTCTAGGAGATCTGTTAGGCCCAGAGGGTGAAACCTTGGCCGAAAAACTAGATCGCAAGATTTTCCCTGAGCGCCTTGCGCGCGAGAAGATGGCCCGAGATGGCCTCTCTCGGCCTTATGCCGACCCTGCTCTTAGACGCTCGCCTCGTTTCTATGCCTCGGTCCTGAATCGGCTCAGAGAGGCCGGCCTGGTGGAATGGGGGTTAGACTGCAAAGCGTCGGTTGGGATCTCGCCGTGTTTAAGAACTTTGGAAAGCTTCGGGTGATTATTGATGGTCGTATATCCAGTTGCTGGTTCGACGACTCTGATGATGTTCACCTCGCTAGTGGGTCCTCGTTTGCTTGTATTTCAGTGGATTCTAGTGAACCTATTTGTGTGGGAGGAGTCGACGTGGCCAACGCCTCTTACAACGTCGCCTTGCCCAAGGGTTTCCAGGAGTACTTCGGCCTTCCTCGGATCCGGGCTGGCCAGGTGGGCGTCTCCGTGGTAAACGGGGCCCCGGTGGGCCCGAATACCTACATCGCCCCCGTCTTCACCGCGATCCCTATGGGCTAGAAACTGTCTGTGTGGATTATGCAAACCACCCTGGAGATCATCTCTCGGCGGGCCCCCGGCGTGGACGAGGCCGGCGCCCTCTTCGACGGCCGACCGGCTCCGCCCTTGGCTCCCCTGATCCACACAGAGTACGTGGGTAATTTTATCGCGCTTAGCCAATCTCAGCGAGCAGCGGGAGATGCCGCTCGCTCACTCTCGGCCGAGCTCTCGCGCGCCAACCTCCCCGTGCACCCGGTAGAAGACACAAAAGGAGACACTACCTTGGGATGGACCTTCTCGGATGACTAAGCAGAAGTCGGAGTTAACCCCGCTACATGTTGGAAACTTCGTCTTGGACTTCAGGAACTCGTTCGTCGTAAATACGCTTCGGGAAAGACTGTTGAGATCCTTGTGTCCCACTTTACTACCCGTGCCCTGGTGAGGCGCGAGCTCTTGTGCGTGTTTAACGCCGCCTACTCGTTCATAGAATACGCTGGTGACGCTGCGGTGCCACTGTGGCCCTCGGTGAAAAGGGAGTTCACGTGGGCCAGCCACCTCATCGTCCTTGCTTGCCGTGATCTGTCTGCCTCCTGGGCTTCGGAGGTCTCGGTGGTGGACGCTTCTAGCTGGGGTATGGGCGTGTGTATTCAGGACCTCGACCCCCGCGTCGTCGCTAACCTAGGCCAGTACAACGAGCGTTGGAGGTTCACTCGCGGGATGAAGAAAATGGGTGGTGTCCCAGGGACTCGGCCTTGTTGGCCTCCCGGCTCGGGGGCTACGCTGCTCCCCGCGCCTCGTCGCCTCTGCCGGACCCGCCTCCTTTGGCCTTCTCGCCTCCGAGGGCCCTCCTATCCCCTCGTCGCCTCAGGCGGACCCGCCTCGCGTGGCTCCTTCGGCCCTGGGGTGTCCTCCCTCGTCGCCCTCGCCGGACTCGCCCTCGACTTCCTTCCCCTCGATCCCGACCCGTGTCTGGGATGGGGGCTGGCGCCTGGTGGCATCCCGGTCTTGGGCCCGCTCTGAGCCTCAGGTTTGCCTCGAAGGTCGGGCCGTGGTCTGGTCTACTAAGAGATGTACCCGTTCGTTAGCCTCTTTTGGTCGACGGTACCTTCACCTCGGGGACTCCATGGCCCCGATTCTGGCGGTGACGAAGGGGCGCTCATCGGCCCGGGGAATGATGCGGATTTGTCGGCAGCATGCAGCGCTGGCCCTCGCGTCGTTCTCGTATCATGTGTCGCGATGGGCGCCGTCCGAGCACAACGCTAGTGGCCCTCCGTCCCGCAACGTGCGCCTGGCTCGAGCCCCGGCCAGCGCCCGCTGCCCGGCTGCCCCTCCTGGCCTCGAGGCCGTCATCCCGTCCCTGCCACGACGGGCGGATGCTCCTGTGGCCGGCGGCCCGTCGGCCGCCGACGCCCGCGAGCGTCGGGTCAGCGCCGCCGGCCGCCTCCTGGGAAACGCCTTCGCCGGCCTCGGCTCCGCTGGCGACGTGGACGCCGACCGCCAGGACGGGCCCCCCTCGGCCGTTGCCGACCGCCCAGGCAGCGGTGCGGCGGCGCCCGGCGGCGGCGGCTTCTCGCCTGAGGCGGGCCGCCCTGGCGCCGTCCTCGCGCCGAGGGCCGGCCCCGCGCAGCGTCCTCAGCCGCGCGGCGCTCGAGAGCGCCCGGCGCGACGACCGGCGGCGCTCGCGGAATCGTCAGCACCCCTGGGAGGCCGTGACGGGGAGCCCCGGGCAGTCCCTGCCGGAGCGCAGCGTGGTCAGGCCAGCTCAGCAGGCGCGGTATCGCGAGATGGTCCAGACCTTCATCGAGTGGACCGTCGCCATGCAGCTGTCCACGTCGACCCTGCTCGAGCTCGATCACGCGGTGGTGGCGTACTTCCACGACCTGTTCTACAACGGGGAGGTAATGGACTGGGCGTCTGCCCTGCTGGCCGCCCTCGTGTTCTGCGACCCTCGGGTCACGCGCCGGACCCCGGAGCTTCCGCGGACCCGCCGGGCACAGAGGTTTCGGAAAGCTGGCGCCGTCACGAGCTCGCCTCCCGCTGCCCTGGACCGCGGCGGCTCTGATCATCGTGAAGTTGCTGTCGCTCGGCCTGATCGAAGCAGCGTGGATGACGCTCCTGAACTTCGTGTTCTGCTGCCGCCCGTCGGAGCTGCTGCGGCTGCGCCGCCGGGATCTGGTCGCCCCCCGCGCGGCGGCCCGATTGCCCTGCGGAAGTGGAGCATCCTGCTCAACACGATCGAGGTCGGGGTTCCCAGTAAGGCCGCCGTGTTCGACGAGAGCCTGCTCCACGACAACGCGGAGTTCCTGTGGGTCAGTCGGGTCCTCGAAGCGCTCGAGGCGCGCGGCGGCCCCGACGACCTCATCGTCAGCCTGAGCTACGCCCAGTGGTGCAGCCAGTTCCAACAGGCTGCGAACGCGCCCCCGTTGTCTGCCCTCGCCCCGATCTCCCTGTGCCAGCTGAGGCGCGGGGGCGCCGGCCACGAGATCCTCGGCGGCGGGCGCGACGTGACAGGCGTGAAGAAGCGCGGCCGGTGGCTTTCGGACGCCTCCCTCCACCGGTGCGTCAAGGCCGGCCGGCTGAACGAGCAGCTGCAGCGCCTCGACGTAGCCACTCAGGAGGTCGCCGCGGAGTGCGCCGAGCATTTGTCGTCGATGATCCTCGTGCCATCCCGAGCTTCCTCTCTGATCCGAAGGATGGGGTTTGCTTTAGAGCTTTTTGCTGGCCAGGCCCGGTCGTCCGCCTGGCCTTCTACACCCGGCCTCCGACATATACCCGTGTTTGCCATCGATATCCGGTTTGGTCCGGCCCATGACCTCACCAACCGGGCCCTGGCCCGCCTCGTCCGCGGCTGGATTCGCTCGCAAATGCTGAGGGCTTTGTGGCAGGGGGCACCCTGCACAACCTTCTCGATGGCAAACCGGGAGGGATGGAGGTCAAGGCAGTATCCAGGCGGGGTCCCGGGCCTCTCGGACCGCGTCTTGTCCAGGGTCCAGGAGGGCAACGAGTTGTGCTCCATCACCGCTGGTTTCTTTCGCTTGGCCCGCTCTGTGAAGGTCCCCGTCGCTATCGAGAACCCTCATACTAGTCGTCTGTGGTCAATGCCCGCCTGGACTCAGATTTTAAAGTTGTCGGACGTCGACGTGGCTGTGTTCGACTACTGTGCGTGTGGCATGCCCTGGAGGAAAAGGACTCGGTTCGTCTCGGCTAACGTCGTCCTCTCTCACCTCCCCTTCGTCCGCCACGGCAAGAAGATCTGCGACTTTTCGGGGAAGCCTCATATTTCCCTTCAGGGTCATGATGAGCAACACGTGCATCGTACTAAAGCTGCGGAACCCTACCCCCGGAAGCTATGTCATGGGATTCTCAATTTATACGCTAGCGCCAAACTTTCGGATCTTAAATGTATGTCGGTGGTTCAGTCGCTACGCATGTGGTGGGGATTTTTTGTACGGCATACCAGATGTTGCCTTTGGCTGGAAAGGCGTCTTTGGTTGTGCTACTGCAACCAGTTGCTTCCGATTGTAAAAAGGTGCGTGTACGTTGCTTTCGGTGCGTTGGCTCTTGGCGAGATCAGATCACTTATTGAACCCTGCTGGCGAGAAAAACCCGTCTGGCCCGTCAAGCACATCTTGAACATACATATACCTTTGTTTACATGGGGGCTGTCTGTCTCAGTATGTCGTGGAGGGCCGATTCCTTAAATGTCTGTGCTCAAGCTTCCCACGGTTTCCGTCGCTATGCAGTTTGCCACCCCAAACCACCCTTTTTTTGCCGCCTTTTTAAGGACAAGAAGTCCCCGCGCTCTGTGCCCCGTGCGCGTGCTGATTGGTTGTGGTACTGCAGCCGGTTGCTTCCGATTCTAAAGGTGCGTGTACGTTGCTCTCGGTGCGTTGGCTCTTGGCGAGATCAGAACGCAG